TAGGGTAAAAATTACAATACTAAGATTAACTTGGAAACTCATTTACACTACAACTAGGGTATGTATTGTCTTGCTCTGCGGACATACTGATTTTAATTTATGAGTCAATGAATATAAGAAAATTGAAATACATCTACAGATATATTTTGACGGAATATCTCATGGCTAAAGTGTAAGGTGGCTATTTGGCTGAAAAATCTGAACGATTCAGTTGAAATATACCTATGCATGTACAAAATGTTTAGGCGGTCTTGGTCGTAAATCAAAGTCATTAGTTTTTACAGTGCTTTAATTTACTTTCAAGAGAGATATTACCATGCTATAATTTGAAATATATCTAAAATAATATCAGAAATCCAATTTGTTTGACCATCAGATAATAGGGTGAATTAATTTGTAAAACTCCGTTAAATGTTGGGTTGAGGAGTTCAATATCATTCAGTATTAAATACCTATTAGCAATTAAATATTTCAGGTTTAACATACATGTACTTAAAATTAAATATTTCAGGTGTAACATACTTAAAATTAAATACAGTCCGATGAAGTGGGGACAGATCTCCACAAGCCAATTTCCAATAAGTCCACATATATAAATAAGTTCATCTTCTTAGTTTCAGAAGGATACCTTATGGTATACAGATCCTTCTTAATAGTAATTTGAAAGTGAAAGTGAAAGTATAAAAAGGAGCAGCAACTCCGGGGGGATCCTGTAGCCTGATTTACATGAGGTAGCATGCCAGGCAGAAGAGTCTTCAGGACTTGAATGAGGGAGTTGCTTACAGTTCTTCATTTTTACGTACGCCGTCATATAAATGTAGTAATTAATATTGTTTTGTTTGAAAGTTTTACATATATTTCTTGATTTCAACAGTGTCTGAAATTGGCTTCAAAGTTTTAAGTAAGCTCTGCAAAATCATACGGTATACCATTTTCGACCAATGTCAAATTTGTCATTCACATTTAATAAATATGTATAATATAATTATGTTTTTAACAAATGTTCACTGTAATGATAAATTGGCCCTCTGACATTATGGAGGGTCAAAAGGCGAACATTAAACTGCAGTGACGATTTCCGGTAAGACAGTATAGTTTGTTGGGGAGACCTGACAAAAACACACAACTTAATATTTTTGGCCTTATTAAGATTTGGTGGAGGTTTGCATGTCCAAAATTTTATCCTGATTTGTTGGTATCCTGACAACCAGCTACCATCCCAGACTAACGGGTGCTATCTACTCCTTGGCTAATTCTCCTTGCACTGATACTAGGTATATTTGCTCAAACTGACACTCATAGAAACCCGTAATTTGACCAGGCAGATCATTGTACCCCTATCTTAAGTGGAATAAAAGCTCGCCAGGTCACTGAATGGGGGAGATAGTGGTCTGGGGGTATGGTATAGGTATGCTGAAGGGGGGACTTAATGTAGGTAAGATTAAACACACTTATCTGGAGACCCTGACATAAATATCTAAACAAATGTTGCAATTAGGAAGGACGTGGTAAATATAAATTGAAGGATAACTGTTGAATTTCAGATCGGAATATAAAAGACCTATTGATTTTAACCGTTTACTGATATGTCCTTGTTTGAACACTGATTGGTTTTTTAACAGTTGTTTGTTGGACTGTTTGTCAATGGTCAATACTGCTGAAACTGGTCAAGAATAGTGTCATGAGTGGTCATTTGACACTTCTTGTTTGCTGTATCGACTGGTCATTCCTAGCTGACTGGTCACCCTCTGGCCATTTCAGCCCAGCAGTGTGCTAGTTAAGACCAGGAGAGTGACCAGTTACAATTGTTATGTTAGACAAGTAGTTATATAATTGGAGCTGTATGTCAATTTGAGACGCAGGAAGATAAAAAAGGGGAGGTAATGATCAAACAATCGGTCAATATTTACCGGAGGACGCTGTGATGAGTAATGAGGTTCACCAGCTGCTGGTCGTCATTGATCCTCAATCATAACCGTAATTGTAAATACACCGTTTTAAAACATTTGATCCGACCAAAGACCGAACAAGATCATTGTGTGGAGTTTTAAACAATTTTGATCGGGGGACAAAACCTTTTATTCTGCTCCATTCAAAATTTTGTAACGATACGGATTTGCAGGAAATTGGAATATGTATATAGCACTGTAATGGGAGAATGTTCAAATCTATTGATTCTGGGTGACTGATGGAACCTGTGACACAAGTTTACATTGTTCCTGCTATATGGTGAGTTTGTTGATGTTTGGGTTCAGAGCAGTTAAAGAAAAAAAAATCAGAATTCTGTGTGAATAATATCTACAACAACAAATTAAATTTTGTTACATGTATAAGTTTAAAATGAATTTTATTGAAAGAAATTTATTTTAAATGTTGGTCTGATACTTTTAAACTGTTTTAAAATATTATAAATATAGATAACATAGATATATAGACTCTCTTTAGTTCAAAGTACAGTATAATTTTATTAATGAACAACATATTGGTTCATAATGCTAAAATGTTTTTTAAAATCAAAAAATAATCTATAGCTTATGTAATCCAGTTGCTAGGAATGTTTCTTTTTGTTGATATGCTTAACGATGTACTTGTTAGAATATCATAATATTCCTCTTAATGTCATGAATCAATTATTAGAAGAAAGTCTGATAAATCGAAATGTGATATTGACAGATTTTTTTTTTCTTAATTGGTAAACTAAAATCTTTTGATCGTAAGTGTTTGAGATATCAGTCTTTAAACAATACATAAACCTCTCCAGTACTTACTTCTCTTGTCTAATATTTCAATTGTGTTTCACAAAGACCAGATGTTTAGAAAATGGGCTCTCAGGGTTAAACCACAATTCTTCTTGAAGATTCAAGCCTGTTCAAGTTATTTTTATACATCTTTTATAAAACTGGAGGTAAAAAATGATATGTAAAGCAGATTATGTGAAATCATATGTTATGAAAATAATCAGTTGCAAATAGTTATATAGAGAGGGAAAAAGCATTTTAGCAAGCCTTGATATGAACAGAAATGTTACATTAAGCATATTGTGACATTAAGTGGAAAATGCTGTCTGCTTAATATCACATATACATGTATAGAGCCTGTTTAATTGTTTTAATACCTCTGATCTTAATTGGTAAAAATCATTCTTTGTCATGTTACACGCTTAAAAGATTGTTGTTGGTTATTTTTTTGCAAAATGAATAACTTCTTTACCAGGCAAAAGTCTGATTCATTGTAAATTGAATGATAAATAAAAAGTATTTAAAGAATTTCTAGTACTCGGATAAGAGCTCCTGCAAGTTTAGACTGATCCACATTGAAGAGACAAGATGGGTAGACTGTGAGTACAGTAATTCTCACTGAAGTGCTAACTGTATTTTAGACGTTACAATCATAGAAATATATCCTTGATCCCCTGAGGTTATAGCCGATTTTTAATGTAATTAAATTCACATTTCTCTCCCTAATCGTGTCAAAATACCAGTTCCACTGTGCTAACGCGGACACAATTTCATACCACACTGGAGAGGAACGCACAACAAAATAATCGTGTGTGATTGCTGGGTGCCATCGGTAAAAAAAAATCCGCTTTACGTGTGACAAACATCTAACAGGTCTTGAGTCCTCCCCTTGTGTTAGTTCTGAAAGAATACCATTAGCTAGCGAGTCGCACAGCTGACTGTGATTGGTCGAACGACTGAGGGTATTATTTCACGCCCGTGTAGAACCCTTCTATCTCCGTGTGTGTAATCAATATAGGAAAGGTAGATCGAGAAAGATTAGCAAGTTTTTTGTCGGGTGATACAAGGGTTGATCAGTGGAGTTAAGAACTGAACAGGGAAACTGACACACTATCATTACCTGTCTTAGAGCTAAGGTGTCGAGCAGTTTAAAAACCACAACGCTCGGTCATGGAGTGTCGGAGTTTTGCTAGTTGGATCAAGGTAAAGTGTTTCATCAAATACTCGAGGGATCACGTTAGCTCTTCTCTCTGATACCAGACTTCAGGGTATTATAGTAATGTTGTCAAGTCCTTCAGCAGTTATTCACAATATTGATTTATATTTTCATTTACGTTGCATTTAAGAACTTTTATTACCACTATTATATTAACTTCAATTTTAGTACATGTTTGCTTTACACACATCTGTATTATTAAATCATACAAACATCTGTATTTACATCTGCATTTTAAAATCCTACACACATCTGTATTTTTTAATTATTTACTTCTATTTATTTACTTCTATATATATATCTATTTCATTATGCATGATGTTTTAAAAATCACTTGTAGAATCTATAATTCTTTTCCATAATGAATGAAACAAAACCTGTCGATCATTCTCGTTAAAGTGTTAAGATTTTTTTTTTTTTTTAAATAAGTTAAATATTTTTTTAATTTGGTAGTGCTAATAAATGTGATGTAACCTGCTTGTTTGTAAAGATTGAAATGGAAGAGATTAGTAAGGAATTCCTTTGAAGTTTGTATTTCAAAATAGTTTGAACAATACATATCCCTTTGCTTTAAGGTACTACAAAAGCATTTCTCTGATTTGCAGTAAAGAGCCTTTCACTTTACTCAACGGATTAAAATGTTCGGTGACTTTTAAAACATTTAATTCATTGTTTCAGTGATTCAGCCATGTTTTTCAGTCACCTGAACTTGTCCCTAGGGAAAATGTTTGTAATCATATCTCATTTCACTAAGTCGTTTATCCAAAATAATTTATAACGTATTAAAAACACTTCATCGTAAACTACTTAGTTCAACAATGGTGGCTCGAGTTTGTCGAGAAGAAGTTCAAATACTTACCGAGAGATTTATTAACAAAAGATATTATACCTGCACGAACTGACCAGAAGTGACCAGTACATGGGTTTAGGCTTGACCAGAACATTCACGCTTGATTAATAGCTAAGCTGGACAAATCACAACCAGTTACTTTCTCACAGTATGACTTGACTGTTTATATAAAATGTGTCCTTTTCTACTTTTTCAGAACTTTTCGCAACCTGAAGTAACGGGACTCTAACGGCTAGCAATCAGTGACAGATAAACCCTGTGTGAGAGATGCTGTGATGTGATTCCCCACTGGCATGATCAGATAGAATAGAAACGGAAATATTTAAAGCCAAAATGGCGGAGACTGTTGTGAGAATACTGTTGGTGTTTTCGATGTTAACACTGTCTGGATGTATTGACCTGTTCTACAGCGTCCAAGAGGAACAGACACCACCGGTCATTCTTGGAAATGTGGAGACGGACAGCTCTGTCCTTAACCTCATCGATCCCGACCAGCAACAAAACATCAAATACAGAATCTTGAACACGGCCGAGAGCTTCACAACAAACTTTGACCTTGAGGTCAGTACTGGAGTGCTGAAACTTGATGCAAAACTCGACCGTGAGGCTTTGTGTAATTCGGCTGCAGCTTGTGTGTTACAACTGAGCATTGCTGTGGCGTCTTCTGATAAGTTCATCACTTCCATCAAGGTCAATGTCACTGTATTGGACACAAATGATCACAAACCTTTGTTCTCAAGGAGTTCCATTTCGGTACCGATCTCTGAGCGGTCGTCTGTGAATCTAACATTTCCCATCATTGGTGCAACAGATTTGGATGCTGTCGGTCTAAACAATTCCAAAATTTCTTACCAGATCTTCCCGAACAGCGAGACATTTGGTCTTAAACTGATGTCAGGTTCACAGGGTAGTACTGATGTCAGCCTCATTCTGAAACAGACAGTTGACCGGGAGAAACTTGACAACTATCAGATCTATGTGGTGGCTAAGGATATGGGTGTCCCTCAACTGTCCAGTACGCTGACTGTTGATGTCACCGTCGAGGACTACAATGACAACAAGCCAGTCTTCACGAAGAATCGATACAATGCTACTGTCCGGGAGGATGTCGCTATAGATACAGTGATACAGACAGTTGTGGCTTCAGATTTGGATGCTGCAGATAATGGAAGGGTCAAGTATGAGTTCGTATTTCCACAGACTTTGTTTGAATTGGACGGAGAGTCTGGGGAAATATCAGTCGTCCAGCAGCTCACGTTTTCTGCGGCCCCGCTGGAGTTGTCTGTCCGGGCATACGATCTAGGAACGCCTCAGCAAACCAGTCTCACTCTGGTAGATGTACACATTATTGACATCAACAACCATGACCCTGAAATTAATATTCGTCTCCTTAGTAACTCCAACTCCGCTACAGTTGAGGAAAACTCCAATATTGGAACGCTGGTGGCATATGTTTCCGTCCAAGACAAGGATAGCTCCAATAATGGAAAGGTAAACTGCTCCATTAAAAGCTCTCAGTTCAGTCTGCTCAGAATCTCAAATTCTGAGTATACTGTAGTCACCGCAGAAAAGCTTGACCGCGAGGACAAGATTGAGTATGTCATAACAGTGCTGTGTGAGGACAATGGTCAGCCACGCAGGAACCATTCAGCCAGCTTTATTGTCGAGGTCCTTGACAAGAATGACAACATGCCCATATTCATGCAGGGTGTTTACTATGGCAACCTCACAGAGAACAACCAGGCAGGTAAAATGGTGACTCGCGTGTCTGCCTCTGATATGGATCAAGGAGTGAATGCCGAGGTCCGATACTTCGTAGAAAGTGACTTTGCTGATATGTTCTACGTGGAGCCAACAACGGGCGTGGTCATAGCCAATGTGAGGTTTGACCGTGAAAAGGTCAGCGAAGTCAGGTTTAAGGTGCTGGCCATGGACTCCGGTACGGACATAAAATACACGTCAAACACAACCGTGATAGTGACTATCATAGATGATAATGATGAATACCCGCTGTTCACACAAACAAGATTCAACTTCTCGATAAGTGAGAATCAGAATGCTGACACGTTACTTGGAAATATCTCAGCCACTGACCGCGACATCGGAATGAACGGACAGGTCATGTACTCCCTCCCATCTCAACACCAGATGACCTTACCCTTCGTAGTGTTTCCTAATGGAACAGTCAAATCAAATCGTCCTCTTAACAGAGAATTAAAAAGTAGCTACGATTTCATTGTCATGGCAACAGACAGAGGAGTGCCAGCCTTGAGTAGCACGGCAAAGGTATCGGTCCAAGTTTTAGACAAAAATGACAATTATCCACAAATTATTTATCCTGTCAAAAACAATGGTACAGTTATTGTGTCCCATCTCACACCACCAGGTAATGAGGTGACAAAAATAGATGCATATGACCTTGACGAAGGTCGTAATGGTGCTTTGGTGTTCTCAATGTCGCGAGCTAGTGCTAACGAGTTATTCTACATAGAGGAGACAACCGGGAAGATTTACCTGGCTCAGGAAATCCGCACGGAGGATATTAAAGACTATAACCTCATGATAGAGGTCAGTGACAAGGGCATCGTGCCAAAAAAGAGCGGTGCCGATATTACGCTGAGGATCGAGTTCACAGTGACGGAGGAGACATCTCAACCTGGCATTGGCCAAAATGTTCTCATTGCCATAACAATTGCTTGTGTGACAATCGTGCTATCTCTGGCAATCTTAGTGACAATATTTTTAATAAGGAGGGGGGACTCGTCCAAGGGGAGTGGGCGGGGCAGTCTCACCGAACATGAGGAAGTGAAAGTGACAGAGACACTACAAATTCCTCCCAAAAAGCCATGCTTAGCCAGGGAGGGGGCACGCTCACCCCTCCCAGAAAACAACAATAGTGTTCATTATGATGTGAAAAAAGAAGTTAGTTTTTCAATGGACGATCACGATCACAGGGATTCTGGGATATTTATGATTGCCAACGATCACTCCAGTCCTGTACCCATGACAAGACAGAGTAAAACACGTCAGCTACAGGTGAGTGAAACAATCCTGGTTAACGAGTTTTTGTCTCTTGTTCAGGTTATCTCTACAGACAAATATACTTAAAGATGTATGCTACCTTACTTTGACATCAAGACTTAAAGATGTATGCTACATACCTAACTGTGACATGGAGACTTAAGGATGTATGCTACCTTAGCAGTGCCATACTTCTCTTTTACAAAAAATTACAAGTTAATGTTAAGAAAATGATTTAACTAGAATAAATTGTAATAGAAATGGCACAACATGCATTGTTATACTCTGACATTTAATGTTATTTCTTAGAGAATGTGTACTACTATTTGGCAAAAAGAAGGATAACTGTTAACAAAATCAGATGTTTTGTCTACCAGGTAGCATATAACCTTAAGACAGTTGGTGTCAGTGATATGTTTGATAGGGTACGTGAGACCTTAAAACATATTCAATAACTCATACATTAGTTTACTGAACATAGAAATGAAGATTCCATAAAGATTGATCAATAAGTTAAAGAAAAATTGTAACCGAAGATTTGTGACAGTTTTATGTCCATTACAGATTTTTTAGGGTTACAAATCGGTGTTACTTTACTAAGGAAAATATCAATCTTATTTCTCTTGGGCAATTTTACCTATATTGTCCCCAAAATTTTTACAAATTTTCTCAAACAGAACAGCCAGTGAAATTGAAAGAAAAAAAAATCAAGTGTACAAAGTTCAAACAATGCAGCAAACATAGACTTAAGTATACAAACTTCAAATGATGCAACAGACATTTACTCGAGGCACAGATATATGTACATTGTACTATTAATTACAGTCGTATGAAGTGTTAACAACAGGTGTTTCTACATCTGAGATGGTACATTAAAAGGATGTTAGAATAGATACCAGATATTTCCATCCCGGAGCATTTAACTGATGTAAGTCCTTTCCGAGGTTTGCTTACAATAGGTAGACGGTACTTGGTACGGAGATACTCTGATCTTGATTCTTATAGTTGTTAAGTGTTGACAGGTAAAAGTAGCTAGTATACGATAGTTATCACTTATCATCACCTGGACAGGTGAGGCATATAGCTATCTCGTTAGTACCAGTGGAGGGGTCATTACGAGATACAGATGACTGATGAGGTATCAGGAAAGACCAGGCTCTGCATGAAGACCAGGGGCCTTCACTTTAGTCAACATACTTTGGTAGTCGTTTATCTCCGTAGATCAACACGTGATCAAAATGTGACGGCTAAAAACTATTACGTAACTTTCTGATTGATGTGTGCTATTACAGACCATTTCTGCGGTTTGAATCTCCGTCAGAATCTATAGATGGTAATTACGATGTGATTTTGGTTATTTAATATCGGGATTGTAATTGTATCTAGGACCAAAGAGACATCGTAGCCGAGATTCGGTAATTACTATAGTAGTAACTGTAGTAGTTATAGCTCTATTGTGTTTGTACTATTACGTAACATCTCCATTACTCACAGAATTATCACAGAAGGTTAATCCCAGTCATCTATAATATTTACCATGTGTGATTTACATAATGCTCGGAGATTGCAGAGATTTAGACAATTAAGTCAGGTATTCCATTTCCTATACGATTGAAATCATTCAGATTATACCAGTAACTTAAAGCTACTTGGAGAGATTGGAAAGGATACTGAAGTGTTAAAATACCTAATAAATATTTTCACTTTTAAAATGGTCCAATATTATTTCCGCTTTTCATGTTACATAAAATCAGTGAATTCACAGTTCTTAAAATGTTTTAACTGAATGAATATTCTAAATTTATTTTTACATTTTATGTTCAAATTTAGTTTGATTGAAATTTTATTCATTTTAATTTAGGAAAATAACATGAATAAACATGTAATTTATTTTTCGGAGATAGGGATATAAAGAGATGATACCATTTTTCATTTGATTTGAAAAAGAAAATTATAAACTGCTAATTATTATCCTTAAATTAATGTGAAAATAATGATAAAATGAAGAATAATATTTTTAACTGTGTTTTTATTGTCCAAATTTGACAGTATAATGTTGTGTAAAACTCAGAAATGATAAATAAATTTTGGAAATTCTGGATATAAAATATATTTTATTCCGAGTCTTGCATGGAAAAAATTATGCGAATCATATCTTGGTGTACATTTCACACTTGCGCTAGTTCTCACCTTCAGGGTAGAAAAGTGACCACTTTCAAGTATAAACAGGATGATATTTGGACATCTCGGTATAAATATAGATTGTAAATTTCAAAGTTTGTATAAATTTGCACTGAGCATGATTTCTATGTTGATTTTCAACACCCCTAATCTAAGTCCCTATGAATAAATTAAAACAGTATTTATCAGTAGTGTCACAGGATACTCCAGTCAACAAACTCGGCACTGAGGATCGTCCAAACTGACACTCGTTGAGGATTTGTAAACAAACTCCGCCATGATTCTATCGTTTAGACACATCTAGAGGGCTTGGGGATCAAATTGGCAATGTAAGATGGCTATCAAGAAGCTCCGGATAGACCGCTCTGATAGCTCTTTCGTTGGACATAGACAAACAAACTAAATAGAAAATAATTTAGACAAACTTCCACACTATTGTAACCAGACTTGTTTAAAGTTAATATTATCGTGTAGTGGGAGACGTCAAACTTTGACTTTAATCCCTGATCAATGTTAAACATTAGGATGACACGTAGGAATCTGAACGGCAAAAGTGGGCTAGGGCAAATAGTTTTCACGTAATGGTTATCTCATCCTCGGAAAGTCCTACCCCTGGTTAAACAACGCACAGCAGGGCAGAGCGAACATTGCAGGATACGAATAATTCAAATTCTATAGCTCTGCAAGCAAGAGTTGAATAACAGGCGGATAGGGTATTTGTTGGATGGTATCTCGCACCAGGCTTTGTCTATACACGGGTAAACAATGGTCGCCACAAGCCTTCTACCCACTGCGTGATTTTCTACATATCTCTAAAAACTTCAACACGAAAACAAAATTCTTTGTCAAAAAGAACAAAAATAGGTAATGGAAGTTATTGAGATAGCCTAACTCCTTTGTGAGTTTTTTGTGTTAAATGATATTTTGCTAAATGATAGAAGGCCGAGAAAAACGATATTATGTCAGGCATATTGTGTTTAAACAGGAAGTGTCTGTATCAGTGGGTTAAAGTTTCAGGGGCGATCATGGCATCGATAGGTAATGTGAGGTGTTGAAATGTTGAAAATAAACATACTTTGTTTACAGATGTCATTTCAACTTTCAAAAACAATAACTCGACAAAAGTACTCTAAGCATGTCAGGGCCGGTTTGACAATGGAGAATATACTGTTGTGGATAATGACACAGTGTTTTCCTTTGACAGTTTTTATAGACACAGGTAATTACAAGACCTACAGAGAGAGTATTCACTTACATTGTACACAAGTTGCCTGAACCATTTTTAAAAAATGAACACATCTTTTTAAATGGGAATAAACAAGTTTAGCTGCGTTTAAGTATATATATGATTCATCCTTACATCGCTTTGATTTTTTTTTTTTAAAAAGAGTGAATATTTTTTATAATAGTTTTCTAGTATATAATAATTGGATAATATTTTTGAAATTCTTGGGTAAAATTGTTGATGAAAAAGTAGATTTCTATCTTATCTTATTTTGGAGATATCTGATTGAAAACACAAGATGATAACTTGCTGTAAGACAAAAATAATCAAAATTGAAATAAAAAAGTGATTTTTAATTAAATTTAAGTTTATGTAAATTGTAATACATGTGATAAGGGTAGATGTGTCAGCTCTGTAACCTGTTGGGTCTTTCTTATAATTTAGGGTCAAAAGAAATACAATAGGTACCTTAAAACTAATAGGTGACTATATTTGTATGTTGATGTGACCTTACACCAAGTACCTGGTATTTATAAGTCTGAAATTAATTTACAAAATATATCGCCTTTGCAATCAAAAATGACTTGGAATGAAAAAAACAGGTATTTTGTGGCTAAAGACAAGTGTGATTCTTGAATATCTGACTGTCATTTGAATAGTTTGTAATTGTTTCAATTCCTTTTTCAGACATTCATATCCCAGCAGCCCCCAACTCGAGATAAACAGGAGAGGCGTGGGGCCGATCCCGCGCAAGACGAACTTCATCGCATGGCATCCATACGACTTCACGAAAAACTGATGCATTCCTACAATAAACCCTTGGTCTACCACCCCGACGAGGTAAATTGAGATAAGATACTTACAATGTGTTAAGTCCATTTCAGATAGTAATGTTTTAGAGTAGCAACATGATAGAAAATGTACTATTTAGTGCTTTACAGAGTCAAACTTTTATGGTTTCATAATTTTGATCGGAACACATCCCTTTTTTTCTCTCTTAATTTAGGATAATACCATTAATGTCATCAATATTTCTGACTATATCTCTCATTTAAAAGTGATATACACTAAATTGTATTGTTGGTTTTTCCTTTTTATTGGTTTTTACAAAGAATCAAGTATTTGCTAGTATATTGTACCTGGTATGTGGTGAATATTACTAGGAATTATTTTCATGTTGGCTAAGATCATTTCATAGTGATGAATATTCCTAAAATAAAACTGCAGGTCATTTTTTAAAAATAAGAAATTTGAATCATAATTGATCAATTAAGTTTTCCGTTATTAGTTATCAAATTAAACGTATTAAATTAATAAGTTTGCATGCATGGAGTCTGTGAGAAGAATGAAGGAGGTCATGCTTCAGGTGATCACTGTATCTACGACTTAAAATTTCAATAACTGCTAATTACTTGGCCAATTTTTTTTATAATGTAAACAATAAGTTGTGTTCCTGGTATGGGGTCGTGCTAGGACTTGGACGCTAAGTCTGTTAATTACATTTAGCTGACTATATGAGTCAGCTATCCCATAGAGTCACAAGTACATACAACACACGAGTGGATTAAATGCCAGATTTACACGACTAAACCTTTGTTGTGAAAATGACACACTTTCCTGTAAAATACCAAATTCCTTCCCTTAGTTTCTATTGTGATCCTCCAGTGTGGGAAGAATGGCGGGATTAAAATCGGATTATTTTTACGTAAGGATTGTCCTATTGGGGCGTCATCGCTTTCTCTGTGTCAAAACCACAGCTTTCCTTCACAAACGTCACCTAATGTCAGTCCCCGTGTCAAATCCTCGGATTTGCTGGGCTCAAAATGTGTACCAAGCAGGCAGAGTGTGAACAAACATAAGACCCCCACCTTACATTCTTTTGTTAGAACTTATACAGAACACAATTCAATTAACGTGGTTTAATGAAGGGGGAGTAGCCCCAGAATACATGTCATTCTGAGATCAAAGTCTAGGTTCCTAAAGTAAACATCTTGAACATTTGAAAGTTAAATTTGATAAGTTGTGTCTATTTTAAATTTATCAATCAGGGAAATTGTTTATTGTTTGAAATATATCTAAAGTGAATTATAATGAAAAATATAGGAAGTCTTTACTTAATTATTTTTTTCTTCTCAATTTGCTGTTATCTTTGTAAAATAATTTGTAGTGTAAATAAAATTACGCATCTGTCCAAATATTTCTTTTTTCAGATTTTATAAATTATCCTTGTAACTGGTTTGGTACAAGAAAAACTATTATACAGAAAAAAGAATAATTTCTAGCTTTACAAGCATGGCTGATTTATACAAAAATTCAAGAAAATCTCTGTGAATATTTTTATAGACTTTTTCAATCAAAGAAAAATATATGAAATTATTAATGATTTTAAGATTTCAATAATATGCTCCATTTGATTTTATATAAAAATGTGTGTGCACTGGACCGAAATTTGAATAATAATATATGTAGGATTGAGGGTAAGTTAGGTTTAATAGAATGTGTAAGAGTGTTTTCTATCGTGGTCTGTCAAATACTGATACACATCTGTGTTCAGTGCAAATGTTTAGGTGATCAGGACCGAGATCTTGAATAGGATACCCTATTTTTCACGGATAATTTCTCCCAAGTATTTTTCACACTATCGGTCAGTGAGAGCAGTTTTAGGAGTGAGTTTGGGTGATGTTGTATTTTCATGAAGCTGAACTGAAATGTTAAAAAATCAGACTTATTATGTTTATAAAAGAAATATTTTAGTCAAAGACTTTTGAAGAATTTTGTTTTCATAAAAACGTTTATTTAGATGGTTTGTATGAAATGTGGACCTGAAATGTGTATTCTTGGGGGTATGCTGTTGACTGAGAGTGGCTACTATAATAATGATAGTCACACCAGTCAGACCAGATTGCAAGAATATGCAGGGTCAGAGATTGTTGAGAAAAGTACGGTCAATGCTGAAACAGCGGACAATTGGAGAAAGTGTGAAAGAATCAGATATGCAATGGAATATTTTCTATAGGTATTGGGTCTGGCATATGCAGGGTCAGAGATTGTTGAGAAAAGCACGGTCAATGCTGAAACAGCGGACAATTGGAGAAAGTGTGAAAGAATCGGATATGCAATGGAATATTTTCTATAGGTATTGGGTCTGGCTTTCCACGACAGCTTTAAGGGGTCTTATAATGCAGTAAAGAATAATTCTGTTAGGTTGTCCCTCCCTCTGAGATGGTGTCAGGGTAATTAATTTAGTTCTCTGTCCTCTGTAGTGGAGGACGGACTGTAGTTTTAGAGGGTACAATTTCTCGCTGAGCCTGGATGAAAACTGTCATTGTGGCGGTGGACACGGTAAAGGTGGCGTCCCAGTGGGGCGGCTCTAATCAGAACCGGTCACTGCTGTGGTGACCAGTGTCCACTCGACACCTCTGGCCAGGACTCTGACACCACTGTCCGCTGGACCTGACAGCTCTATTGGGGTAGATTGTTACAATCGGCATAATCAGAGGTCTCCTTACTTCTCTCAGCGCTTCTATCCGATTCCCACCGTCTACAATCTGTTGCTTTTTTGTACATGTATGACATCGTCTTTTCATTGCCTTTCATCGCCGATTACATGTCCCCAAACATTGCTACTTGACCTGCCATACCAGCTACTTATCAAATAAAAAAGTCAAACTCCGACATTTTTCAAGAAAATTAACTGTAATTAAAGCCAAATGGTCAGTCAAGGGTAGAAATCAAATTCATGCATTTACCAGCATTAAAAAGAATACAAACTACAATTAAGAGGAATTCAATTCCTTGAAATTCATGTATTTTGGATAAAAGTGCCTGCAAGTAAAACAAAAAAAGGCTACTAGGGGGTTATAATTCAGGTATTTTGAAGGCAAAAGGATTTGGAGCTTAATTTTTGAGCTTATTTTTTTTTTATAAGGAAATGTGAAGTGAGATGTTTTTGAAGACATGGTAATTGATTAAGAATGATCATCTGTATTGTTTATGTGATTTTTGTTTTACCTGTAACATTTTATTTTGAAATTGTTCAACATTCTGTCTTGGTACAGTTAAGTCTGGTAAGCATATTTATATACAACACAAATATAAAGTTAATATTGCTGTAATGAATTAAAGAATAATGAATTAGGAAGAGAAAAAGAATACTAAACACTATAAGAATTAGTATTATTACAGAAATATAAGAAAAAACAATTGTTTGTGAGACATTCCATTTTACAATTTTATTCAACAATATGTTAAGCTGACAGTACTTTGCACTGTAGTTGCAAATGAATGGAGGTGAAAAATGACAACACTTTTTACCCAGGAAATAGTGCCATTTTTCACCTGATGAGGATTGATACTTGTAATTCTGCCGATAACATCATCACCAGATTTTAAGATTACTAGAATTCTTTTCTAAATAATCCATCAATAGTTTTTATACCTGGATGTACATATTTTTCCCTGTAGTTTGATTTCCAGTTCCTGTGTCCTTACCAGGTCCTCAATGCCCACTGAGAATTAATCATTCATCTCTTGTATTGCTATGAGTTTTTAAAATGAACATTCTTTTAAACTCAAACTCTCTCACGAAGAATCACCCAACATGTAAACTCATAATTTGTATAATCTACATTTTTTTCAGTGAAACATATTTTTTCCCCTGTGTCTAAGCCAGAGTATATCATCAAGAAATAATTTGGTTATACTCAAAATTTACGATAAATTATTACCACGTAAAAGTCTGTCAGTCCAAGTCAGGTCTGTAAAAGTTTCAAGTGTAATATTGTATGCGTCATTCTACAAATTAAACCTGTGTATCTGTTCATTGACTATCCCTGTATCCTATATAAACTTCAGGCTTACTCGCACCTAAATATCTAAAGCACGCCCCTTCTTGATTTAAATTATGGAGATGAATTGGATAAAATACCATGGAATTTTCTAATTTCCGTATCATTTAAATTTCTCGCAAAGTTTCCTATCTTTGAGACATCAGTAAAAAAATAATTGAAACCTCAATCGTTACAGTCACTTGAGGTATATAATGTTTTCAAATTACAATTTCTTACGGAGTTCTGTTTAATTTCCTACCCCTTTGACAGTGACAATAAATGGTTGTCGAATGTTTGAATCACTGTATTAACAGATAAAATCTTCCTCTGGATGTGTAAGGTGTGTAGACTTGGGGGCATTTTAGAATAAATATGTAAATTTTGAATAATGAACGATATCAACAATGTCGCTAAATCATATTTACATCAAATCATGAGATTAATTTTTGATAAATTAACATAATTTTTATGTTTGCTAAAGGTCTTAGTGTTGAGTTTTATTTTTTTCTTGTAAATACTTGACAGATTGTAAGTATAGAAAGATTGGGGTTGATGTTTATACATAGATTGATGATTGGGTGTAATTTCTTCTTTATTAGTAATGAACCTAGGGCATTATGATACAAAATATCACCACTACCAGGTGCTACCCGACAGATAGAAACCAGACAGAAAAAAACGAATTTGTTAAGGTAACTGGAACCAGTCTGTATCAGAAATTTAAAAATTCTAAAACCAGGAAACTAAATAAAATTGTGTGATATTTTTTATGTCATTCCAGAATCGACAGTTATTATTGCTGAAAAAAGGGTTAGAGGACTCGCGTAGCGACAACTCAGGGGAGGTAACTACAGACAGTGGACGGGGTGGCAGCGAGGAAGATATGCACCATGCAAGCATCATGATATAGGATGGCAGGGAATCAACTCATAAAAAAAAGGTAAATAAAGATGAACCAAGGTTTTTTGAATCACCTCCTGGATGTTGGCAAAATTAATTATCTCCCCCTTGGAATTTTTTCTTTCAAATTTTAAAATGTAATTTTTCCACTATTTTGATATCTTAAATTAATTGTTGTGAAAAAATACACTGTTTTCCAACCACTCTCAGATGAAATATATATCTGATTTTTCTGGTATTTTTTCCTATATTCCATCTGTCCACTGACAAATAAATACATCAGGCAGTGCCATTGGCTATGTGTGTATACATTCTTTGTCAAATGGACTTTATAAAAAAAGACTGAAGTGAATACCTACTGGCAACATAAAATGAGTCAATTTCTTTTATATATTTTTTTTTCTTTCAGGCAATTTTACATGATATGGCAGTGAAGAAAAAAGAAGTGATATTTAACTATATAGGGTAACATGGAAGATGGCTATAAATATAGCCAGAGGTCAGGAACTGTACAAAGGTCAAGGTTAGAGGTCAACCAATAACTGATGCTCAGAACTCCAGCCAAATTACTATAGATCAACTCCCTAGTTGACTGACCATGTCTGTGTTCCTGTGACAGGTCATCAGGTGCACATCTGATTTTACAGGTAAATTTTGCATTTAATTATTTTCCCTAAAAATAACAGATCTTATATAATGGTTATGAGATGTACTGTTCATCATTGACCTTTTGTCTTATGGAGTGAATGTTAGATGGTTACTCAATGAATATTTCACTTATTTTCCAGGCCATTCATCAATTCGTTTACTCTTCATTTAAAAATTAAAAAGAAATCGATGAAAAATACATTTGACCAAAACAATCATCTACAGTGAGTAATATAAGTATAACATCTATGAAGATACTGTGTAAAGAAAAAGATAACGAGACAGATTTTTGTTATAATTGAAATTATCGAAATTATTCCAAATTTTATTTTTAGAGTATGTTGACTTAACTCTAGAAGAAGTCTTAAGATATTTAAAAAAAAGACAAGCTTACAAATTTCTGAGAAATATTGATTGAGGAATCACCAAAAACAGAAGTGACAGTCATAGAGAGTCGTTTCTTGTAATTAGAAATGATCTACTAGACTGGTATATGTTTTATATGGCCGAACTTTATAGACAGGTGTTTGTTATATATACAGGTGTCCTTTATAGATGTCTAGGTGTTTGATATATAGAGATGACCTTTATAGACAGGTGTTTGTTATACAGAGGTGACCTTTATAGACAAGTATTTGTTATATTCAGGTGACCTTTATAGACAGGTGTGTGTTAAATAGAGGTGAATTATAAAGACAAAAGACTTGTGTTCTTTGTAAAGAGGTGACCTTTAAAAACCTTTTTCATAAAGATGTTTATTTTCATTGATGTTTGTTATAAAGATGGCTTTCTAAAGACTACATATGTAAATGTAAAGTTGAGCTCCCTTTTTTTGCATTTCTATGATATTCGTAAGTTTTAATTTGTTCTATCTTTTAATATCGTTCCAGATTGGACCAGCTGTACTGAAGCTACTTCTCAGGAAAATGGATGTAATTGTTTTGCTTAAAGCAACAAGACTGTGAATGTGATCCCCCATAGGGATTGAGTTCTTAATATTCCTTCAAAAGGACAATTACATGTTATGTATTTTTTCATGAGATTCCCACAAGTTTCTTCCATATGCTCGGTACATATGCTGCTGCTGCTGAAGATGTATTTTCGTGCCTGTTGATGATATTCTACAAAAGGTCCTGACCACTTACAAAGTCTGTTGGCCACTCATAATGACACAATGTAAATTATGATCTCAAGCCTAAAAAAAAATGTTATTGTCAAAACCAATCATAATTCATCTCTTATCAACCAATTACAGGCCATCTCTCATTAACCAATCACAGTCCATCTCTCATCAACCAATCAGTTATCTGCTCATGAATGAGGACAATTAAGTTACTGAATTGTCAAAATTGTATTGTTATGACCATGAAATGTTATTTATTTTCTAGTCCTGTAATAAAACCATTTTGTACACATTTATTACCGCGACTGAAACTGTTTTGTACTGATATTTATTATGTTATTGTTTTATATACAACAGTAATAAACAAAATTTAAAACATTTGTGCCATGTTACATTATTTATATTTGAGATTTTTCTCAGACATGTCAAATAAACTGCAAAGATACTTTATTAGTACAATTTTGTTTCCTTATATCATCAGCAATTTTCAAGTTTCAAATATTTAGTGGAACAGTTATCTGTAGCATGTTTGAAGGCAGGGATTTTATTTTGGCAGTTATAATATTATTAAGGTCTTCTGAATGCAGAAAGTGCAAAAATATAATTCTTGCAAAAATGAATAGGTTTACAATGTGTGACTTGAAATACAAAAAAAAACCACTTTGATATGATGCCCCTTGTGTCATTTGCCACCTATTTTACTGCCAAGATATTTCAACGTCTCCGTTTCTCGTTTTTTTAAGAATTCCCTTATATATTCCCCACAATTTATTGATTAATTTTCCCTTGACAAATAGTGGCAGGCAGCATAATGAGGTTTACTGTATATGGATCTGTCAAATATACACAAAAAATTCCTGACTCAGTATTTAGAAATTATTTCTTATAAATATATACAACAATGTTTCCTAGCTTATATGGATAATCCTATTTAAACACAGCAGTAACTGTCTCCTATGAACAGGGCAGTTATACTTTGCTAGTTTGATTAGTTTAAACGTATTTTACTGTAATTTAAATTCAATGGGAGTTGGGCACAAGTTTAACAACTTATATGGAGCCATTTCCCTACAATATTTTAAAACAAATTTTGAAGATGGCATATAACATATATATATTTACATTGGCTTTACTTTGCTAAATCACAGGAGCCGGAAATTCTGTCCAAATTTAATAATAACAGTAAATAGAACAAACAAAAAAAGTCTATTTTTTAAGCATATTTTAGGTTTCTTTTTGTATTACTGTTGTTATTAATTTTGGACAGAATTTCAGGCTCCTGTGGCTAAATACAGCAACTTGTCCTAGCTAAATACTTTCCAACTCAATATGTAAGTCATTTACAGCTACATATATAGCAACGATTCCCTGCTAAACCTACAGCAAATCCTTCATAGCTATGTACATTGCCCATAGCTGTATACCTCAATGCCTTTATTTCTGTTGAACAATACAGCAACAATTTTTTCTAAACATAAAACAATAAAACTACATTATATACGACACAGATTCATATATGCTGTTTTATTAGTTATAAAACTTAAATCAGAATAATTTTATAAGCATCCCTAGAAAAATCAAATATATTTATCGGTTTATCATGATCAGTTTGTGACTATTGGTTGTCTTAAAACATCTGGTACAAGGGAGATAACTCAAATACACAATCTATGGATTTTATAAGTTATTCATTAAGTCTTGAAGTGATATTAAAATTTCATCACATCTACCCTAAAAATAGTTTGTTTTCTGTTTTACCCATGAAATATAACTTGGTATTCAGATCACCGCTAAATGGTATGGAACAGTTACTTCAACAATGCTACGTAATGATGTAAGGAGTGAAAATGTTAGATAACTGAATTTTTTGACAAAAAACAAAAACATTTTTAAAAAAGTTGACTGATTTGAAATAATATTTTTACACAGTGATGTGTGCTCTGTTTTCATCGTTTTTAAGTCTACAACATAAAATAACCTTAAATAAAAACAGGTTTTCTGTATGCAGTGAGTGTTTCAATTAGGGGGATTTACACACATGTCCCTCTGTTCCTCCAACTTTTGAGCCCCTACCATCACCGATGAGTCCTAGAAGGACGAAACAGCTGTATGCTACAATGTAGTTCATTTTCGGGCATACTGTATCTATTACAAAATATTTAAAGGTACAGTCATCCGTGTGTGTGTTACATTTCTCTTTCAACATATATGAAAAATCCTGGAAGATTTTTTTTTTAAATATCTTCGCCAATATAAACACCATACATTTAATTACTCAATGCAATAACAACAACAAAACTAAAAAATGGTTTTCATAAAAATGTTGCAACAATTCAATGGCCTAAACATTTTTGAAGTTGTTCTTTATGGCCAAAAATATAAACACATTGCTATTTTTGTGTAATCATAACATCGTTTTAATGACTGCCTCGAGCTCGTGTCGTGTAAAGTAAAGATTAGTAATATCGGATACAGACCTTTTTTTAAACAACGCATGCAGCCTAGTATCCAGTTCAGTTCCTAGGCCGAGTTTCCTTTGGCCCTGACACCATACTTAGACATACTGACAGATAGATGTCTGGTGGAGTCTAGCCCGAGTTTCCTCTGGCCCTGACACCATAATTAGACATACTGACAGATAGATGTCTGGTGGAGTCTTGCCCAGTTTCCTCTGGCCCTGACACCAGACTTAGACATACTGACAGATAGATGTCTGGTGGAGTCTTGCCCAAATTTCCTCTGGCCCTGACACCAGACTTAGACATTTTGACGGATAGATGTCTGGTAATCTTTCTGTCAGAATGTCTAAGTCTGGTGTCAGGGCCAGAGGAAACTCGGGCTATTCAGTTATGTACATAAACATGTCAAAGTCCTTGTAAACACCATTTCCTATAGCTAGGCACAAACACAGTACCCAGCCTTCCAAAAGACCAACGAGCTAATTAGCATAATCTCCTGAGGATTCCTGTGCTACATCCCTATACATGTAGCTGCCTCCAGCACGTCCATCCTTAGATGACCTTAGCTGTTCATATGACGTTAAGGTATTACATACAGGCTGATGTCGGTGTTTATAGTATGTGATGGGCTCATACATTTTCCTCAAAATAAAAAATATATATAGAAGTTGGTTGGTATACCCATGTCAATAACAATGACCTCCTTTGCAGAAGTTATTTGTCGAAAATGTTCTTGATTTAGTCTGAAAAGCAACTTTGACTGTAGAATTTGAGTGGCGAAAAATTGCATTACATATTATAATTCATCTAAAAAACTTACCTGCACATGCATTCCTGAAGTATCCATGTATTCAATATTGTCAAGAAAAATGTTACAAAATGCTTCAAATATCAAGAATGATGGCATGTATTTACATTGGATATTTTACAATTATTCATAAAGCTAACAAGGCTTTTCAAGCCAGATTACCTAAGTGAGACCTGTAGTGAATGGTGTACAGGTAAAGTCTCACTTGCTTTGCATGCTTTTTTCCAACCTCAGTCAGACTTGTTGGCTTTGTGCTCAGTTGTGATTTATTTAGTGGAAATGTATGCCATTATTCTGGAGATTTGACACATTTTTTTTTACATTTTTCTAGATAATAGTGAATACATGGATACTTCAGGAATGCATGTACAGGTAAGTTTTTTCATGAATTATAATATTCAATGCTATTTTGTCATGGGTATACCAAGCAACTTCCATTTTTTTTTTTTTGAGGAAAAACTATGAGCCCATCACATACTATATACACTGACATTAACCTGTATGAAATACCTTAAACCCTACCCGACCCACCGACCCCTGCAGGCAAATCACCAGATAATTCAACTGTCGTTTTTCATTCCTAGAGTTGCCTCGCCTTGTATCAGTGATAAGCTAATATAAGGTAGCTATAAGTTGGTTAGAGTAACCGTTTTCTGATCAGAGGTTCACGTTTCGAATCCCCATTCTGACCCCGTTGCATATTTACTTTCATAATCATATTGTTTACCTTTATTTAATCTATTGTTTTACACAAAAGTTCCGCTCAGTATGGGTTTCTTTTCATAAAGGAAGTGTGAACGTAATTTTCATACCGGTTGAAAAAGTTTCCAATTTATTGTCATTTTTTTGGCATTGGTGTAGGTATCCTTAACCCTTGAACATGACCATGGCCATCGCTCGGTGCGTTCAAGAAACCCCAATCGGGAACCGTCGGTACTTTCCATAAACGCGAAAAAATACTCGTTTACGGAAAGTGCCGACGTTTCCCGATTGCACCCAACCCTTTAACAGACCACTCCCTATGCAAAGTTGCCTTCACGTAGATCATTGGTCAAGCAGAGTATAGCCCAACATTACTTAACCAACACCCGATGCCACAAACATTATTCCTGTCACTGAAAAACGTGCAATTGTGTCACTTAATCAACGTCATATACACGTTTGATCAATCAAGGTTGCTTTGACATAACGTAAACAAGTTTTGACAAAACATGAAGAAATTTTGACCAAATAAAGAATTTTTGACACAGCAGAAAGAAGTTTTAAAAAAGCATAAAGATATTTTGACAACGTAAAGACTTTTTGACATTTCATAAAGTAGATTATGACACAACACCAATAAGTTTTGACATAACATAAAGAATTTGGATATAAAGTAAACATAGGTTGAAGACTATAATTAAGGCAGGTACCGCGTTCCAAACTACAGTTGCAATCCAACTCTCTAGACCTACCAACTTCATTACAAACTTCAACAAGCACATGACCGAACACAAAAGACGAAAACCCACTACATGCACAGATTACACAACGCTCTATGAATCAAATAAAACTATTGATTTATTTTTGTTCAATATATCTTAAGTGTCCATCGTAATAAAATACATGATACATGCATACATACAATACAATAAAATACATGTTCTCAAAATCATGTATTTAATTACGATGGGCACTTTGAACAAAAATAAATCCATAGTTTAAGCTCCATAATGAGGAGTGTTTTACTTTTCTCAGATGATATAGATATCTATATTTCTTTTTTCAATCCAATGGACGTTTAAGATATATTGAACAAGGAATGTAACTCGGTATAAAATTGACTTACTGAGAGACACAGCCAGTAAACCTGATTGTGTTAGACTGTATTATTTGGAATGAGAGGACCGCGATAATATCTATACGGAGCTTTTATTGCCATTTACAATTCGCGGTGTACTTTTCTTGAAGGTAACGTACTTTTGAAGTTGATGTGAGTGCCAAATATTTTCCATAAATCACTAGCATACAACTTATATATTGACCTGGACTCATGTAATAAAGAATTCTTATGTTGATCCTGTCTCGAGAGAATATTACGGGTCCTGGGTATTTTGGCTCTTGAAATAAGATCAAATGCAATACCCACACATATTATCGTGTGACGAAAAGATTGTTTCCAGGTCAAATACAATGTCAGTCTCTATAAACGTTCATTATATGTTACGTACTCGCATTCAGTACGCTGACTTATCATGCCCCCGCCATTTTGTTACCTGGTGGGGATCATAGTGTCGCCGTTGGGCCATATACCCCTGCCAGAAAGAAGTTTGGCTGTATCATCAGTGGGGATTACGTTGTAACTATATATACAGGCTATTTATAGCTGGAGGTAGAGTCTATATGATTTTAAGTGTAAATGATCATTAAGAATGATTAATTGTGATAGAAATGTGATGTTTTCAAGCGGTAGAGAAATACATAAAGCACAGAACACAATTTACTTTTTGACCTCATAATAAATGTTAAGCTTAACACACACACACCCCAAAAACCCTAAAACAAAAACAAACTGAGATTTGTTTTTAATTGTAATATATCAGTGCATATTTCCTCAATAACTGCAGAAAATAACACATGAATGCTTCATTTTCCATCACTAGTCACGGGACTGACACGTCTCTAGTTTGTCCTGCATTAATCATATTGCTTTGGCCGATTTAGGGGCCAATCAGTCCCCTTTGCGCTTAGTATATTGAATATCAATCAAAAAATTGTGGTCTGGATGATCACTTTATTATTTGATACGATAATGGAAATTTGGGTGAAATTGAATTGATGAGTTATCAAGAAAATAGACATTTATACAGGATCCTGGCAAGCGCGAGCTTGTAAGACCAACATGTACAAGATATACATATATAACAAAGACTTTGATGCTAGATTGATAATGGACGTTTTTATTTATCAGAGACAAAAAATGACAATTATAGAATGTCACATAGTCTTTCAAGTTTTCATTTATGAAAGATGTTAATGATAATTTTGGTCTTAGATGGGGACCAACAGATACGCCACCCATGGGTCTCATTTTATGAGCCCATAGAATGCTGCAAATGCAGCTTTTATTATCGGCTGATATAATATAGGATCTAACATGAGTTTTCATTTCATATGAGATTTATAAAACGAGTCTAAAAGTTTTTCAATTTAGCGAGCCTCTGGCGAGCGAAAATGAAAAATTTGTGGCGAGTTTTATAGAAGCCCTCAAACCCAGCTTGAATGCACAAAGATTTTTACATTGTATTGTATACATGTAGATGTTTTCTTTGTCCTGGTATTGTTTGTGACGTCACTATGATTGTTTATTGATGGCGTCACTAAAATTGTTGACTATGCAAATATTGATGAAGTCATGTAACCAACGGTGACAAATACACGTCAATCCGCATGAAGAAGCCCCAGAACACAGAAAGGCCTAGCGGTAGATCTTACAACTTTATTATTCTATTCTATAGTTTCCTTCGCAAGGACTTGTTTATTAATTATCAACTATATGTATAAGTCTCATAAGTAATAACGACAACCTGATCCAATATCGGCAATGGATCCGAGCAAACAAGCGACAGTGCAGACAAAGAAATGTGTCAACTTTTCAGGGCGATCTGCCCCTTTATCAATACAGGAGCATAACAATGTACATATCACAACATAAAACAGCAATACACAGTCAACATGAAACAATAATACAATCAATAAAAAATATATAAACAAAAAACATCTGATTCTTACAAGAAATATGCTGTTGTAGTTGCATTTCCCCTAGGTAAGCTTGTAACCGAAGGCTAATTATTGTAAAAAGTTCATCTTGAATACGTGAGGTCAAGTTAATTCATACAAAAAAAATCTGAATAAATGTAGTGAGAAAAAAATAATATATACCCCTCCACCCTCCCCAAACTCTAAGCATCTTTTTTACGCTTCACCTAGAGGACATGGTTTACCATGAGCCACGGATTTATGCAACGGTCAATAACATAAGTGTCAACTGTTCATGTATGTCCTGAATTCGTTTTCATTCGATGAGAGTTTATAATAAAAACATGTTCTAGTTATAATCAGTGATAATCAGTGACATATACCCTATATGTACATCCCTATTGTAAACAAAATAGTCCAAAAACAACTATCCCCTCAAAACAGTTTAATTGGGGATAGACAGTTATTTCGGATATATAATATGACAAAAGGATAAAATATGCATGCCGATTCCCAAGGCCAACAGAATTGTGACTAATTAAAGTTTCTTTTTTTTAAAACTTGGGCAACACCCAAAATACAGTCCTTTATCCCCCTGGCATCCCAGATAATTGTGTTTCGTCAAAGTTTAAAGTGAATTCCAAGGAGTGTTGACGTATCTGGTCTAATTTTAAACAGTTATCATGTCTAACCAAGAAAGTCACAGGAAGCACGAACGACCTGTCCAGTGTCCTCATCCACAGCCTTGATGTCTATCTCGGACCCCCCAAAACACATTGAAACGCATACAACCCTCTTCAGTCCTCTGGTCGTGTCTGGCATATCAACTTTAATTTCCCCAATTTTCTGACAATTTGCATCCGTCACATACACTGGTTTCTCGTTGTTTGAAGCATATATGCTAAAAACAATGCTTGTTTGTGATGCCGTGACTGGTACGTACCTTCTTGCTTGTGCGTGTTCATGGAATTTCACTGCATTTCCTTTCTTCACAAAACGATCAAAAGCAAAGCTACATAGTTTTTTGCCGCTCTCGTCTATCACACGATACTCATTTTTGTGTTTACGCTTTTTAAAGGGTAAATGAGTCTCTACTCCGTACGTAAACTTACATATCCGCTCCGATATTGTAGAGGGACTGTGTCCGATGACTACAGCTCCTTTCAGTACGGCCAAACCGGCTTCGTTAGGGACAATGAGCTGGACACCACCAGCGATGTGCCGAATCGCGTCGAGGAGCAACGGACATTCGGAATATCCTCCGACCATTAAGATTGCCGATATTCCTCTAACCTTAGGATCACGGAGCAGTTTACTAACATGGTAAACTATTTGTTCAATCGATTCGTCAAACAATGAAGCAGTTTTTGTTCCAGACAATCTAAGTTTGTCACCAAAAAATTCAACATGAGAGGAGAATCTTTCGTTTTTTGCGATGTTTTCTTTGATGTTTTGCCCTGGATTCAATTTGTTGTAAGTTGAGAGGAGGCTGGATGGAATACTGACAGTAACCTTGTCTGAATGCTTTACCTTGTTTAATCTCTTTTTCACCTCGAATCTTCTCATGAGATCCAATAAATCGTATAAGTGATCGGACTTAAATTGACCGAAGGCCTGCTTACCTATGATGTCCTCTAGGTAAGATTCAAAAGCTTCATCTACTTTGGTCCCTCCCCAGTCCCCGCCACTAGCTACTAGTATCTCCCTCAAATGTCCGTCCTTCTGCACCTTGTGGACCGTGATATCAATGGTACCACCTGAAAGTGTTAACAGAACATTAAAATTTGCATTCCAAATAGGGATTTTCACAATAATATAGTTTTGACATGTGAACGGTGGAAAAGCTATGTGGTAAATTATTGTAGCTAGATCATCAAATTTTACAGATTTTGTGATTCTGATATCAATGCAAATGAAAAAAATAAACAAACATTACGAGACAATTAAGAAAGTCAAAAATACGCTGCAGAATTTATTATATACGAATGAGATCGCGTATCCGGTTTTGTAGGATAGCGTTCCACTTAGCTACCAAAGCTGTTTTCAGTTCCTGGAGCGTTCCTATGGGATTATGATCCGGTTAGCGGGCTGGCCAATCCATTCGTTGAATGGGCTCTTGCTGTAGAAACTGCTCGGTCACCCTTGCTCTATGTGCATAAGTCTATTAGGATGAAGTCAGGGCCGATAGCGCCAGCGTAGGGTCTGACCTAGGTATCAATGATTTCATCGCCGTAAATCCGAGCCGTAATGGTACTATTATGGAAGACATGGAGGTCAGTTTTCCCACGAAGGCTTATGCCTCCCCACAAACAACATCATTGAACCTCCGCCATATCGGTCATATTCCACAACATTACCTGTCTGGAACCTCTCCACAGGTTGTGTCCACACTCTTACGCGCCTGTCGGTGAAGTCGAGACAGAATCTGGACTCGTCAGTAAAAAGAACCGGTTCCCATTTCGGCGTCCAAGTGCTGTGAGCTTGGGCGCCATCTTATCGGTCCCTAACATGGCTGGCAGTTAAAGGAACTCATATTGCTGGTCTACGTGACCTTAAACCAACATTATGAAGACGGTTCCTAACTGTCTGAGTGGCTATCTGGGTACCAGAAGCATTTCGGAGGTCATTTCGTAAAGCTGTGGCAGTCTGGAACCAATGTGGCCGTGCCTGTTTGCGCAAAAATTTGCTGCGTTGTAGCCCTACACCAACCTCCAGCATGACGTCTGGAAGGTTAGTCTGGAAACGACTCCACATTCTTGTCACCACACTTTGAGACCCCAATGTCTGCTGCAATCTGACATTGAGACATGCAATCTTGCAGCATTCTGATGCCCCTATTCATTTCACCGTCATTTAACCGTTGTCTGGTTCGTCTTTGTGCCATATTTTAACAAAAACACGCAAAGAATATTCATCAAATTGATTTCCTTAACAATTTGAACAACGCCTTACTTAACATAGCTTATCTTTTGAAAGGGATGTACACGTGGAAAAACGTGCACGCACCTTTATGGTTGACTGAACACACCCACACAGGACGATTTAAACGGCTAACATATTCGCCCAAAACAGTACTGAAGGAAAATATAATATCCTTTCTAACGTTTTTTTTTCTCTCCAAAATATGAGTGATCCTTTACAAAAAGTGAGAAGTATATATTCTTTCTCATACCATACCCTAACACAAACGGTAAAAATATGAAAGAACTCATGTGGATATTGTTAATTGTAGTAATAGCCAAAACACTATCATTAAATTTTTCGTCAGAAAATCCTGTAATGAAGCAGTTCAATATCCAGACCATCCTCAGGGGTTACGCTCACTTTCGCTCTCTGCACCCCTTGATATGACATAGCAAAATTAAAGGCTCAGTGTGCACAACTTTGTGGATGACAGGAAGACTTGTTTGATCCTTTGATGTACACAAAAGAATCTATCGTATGCGTATCGGTAAAATTGACTTTCTTTGATGTCGGAAATCGCCCCAACCTAGAGATTGGTCAGTTTTCTTTTTACATGAGACTAATCACATTCTTGTCCTGTGCTTTTAATTTTGCTATGACATATTCCATGGGCGCAGAGAGCGAAAGTTAGCGTAACCCCTGGATAACGAGGATGTAGCCAGACTTAAATGAGTTGTTTTATCTCTAGAAAATACTTTGGTAGTGTTACATACCTCCAGCATCAATAACCATGTACTTAGATCCAGCCTGGAACTCTACACGATCTCCAAACACCCTTTTTCCTACTGGAATGTGTTTACAGAAAACAGAGGCAGCTTCCGGCTCCAGGCACAATATCAGTTGCCGTTTATCTAGCCCCGCCTGAAGTAATGCGGTAAACAGTTTATATTTCAATAATATTTAAATCATTATGGCCTACTATGTGGTTTTAAGAAATAAATATTATGAGACAATATCACAATGATAAATGAGAGTTTTATTTGACCACCATGTTAAAATATGGTTGTTTATGCCATTTTTTGTCGAAACTTATCTTAAATTCGATCACTAGTTGATTTTGAAATCTTGATAACTTAACATATATAGTTCCGTCTTGTTTTTCATTAATGTATTTACGATGTCACCTACAATAGTTTTACTTGATGTTACGTCAAAAGAAAATATTTAGTTTTATTGTTTTGCACATGCCTTTTTATCGAACACTGTCAAGTGATATTTATATTAATTGAAGACGGGTTTTTTTAAGACACGTCGTGTACCTTTTCTGCCGCTTCCCGCATCAGCTGTTTTGCTGGATCAGTCCAGATCGTCGGGACAGTAAGGACCCATCTGACCTCAGAATCGTTGACTCCAGTGCCCTGTTCCCGGCATTGTTTCATCAGCTTTGACTTCAAATAGGCTATTGTGGCCGATATGACATCTATCAAAGGCATTTTCTTCTCTCCACTATAATCGGTTAATTGGACCTCTCTGTCCAGCTAAATAAAAATACACAAGAAAAGATAAGATTATTTGTATACTTATCAGTTACTGTATAAAACATATTTTTGTAATCCAGATAACAAATGACCAACAAGTCTTTTTTTTTCAATACAGACCCAACTATTGAAAACACTTACTTTAGTATTGTAAAGATTCATTTTGAAACGCCGAAAAAGGTACCAATCTTCATGATCCTTGTCTAAAGTGAGGTTGAGGTATTTGTCCTCGGCTTCGTATCCAAACGAATGGAAGGTACGGTCAGGTTTGAAAAGGACGCATGTGGAAGCCTTTTGGGAAACCATACCCGCAGATCCTGCGACCCATTGTACTAACGACATTTGTGTTGGATCGGTTCGAAAATCATGTTTGGTGGAAAATGCATATCCCGAGTAGGTCGTCCCGAAGTCTATGGCAGCAACCAACAAATAATTATCCGAGGCCATCACTTCTCTGAAATATAAATACGTTTAGATATCAATAGTATTCATTCCTATTGCACTCGTTACAGGATTGATTATTTAATGCAGAAACAAAAGACAAAGCGCATAAGATGTCCTGATATGCCATAGAAGCATATAGCTAACAGTTGGAAATACCGAAATAATTAAAAACAACTTAATACAAATGATGAGATAGATAAAGGCTTGCAATATATTAACCTGCAAAACCACACCTCGGAGTCTACTCTCCGCTTCTAGCTTCTGATTGTCCTGATAAGTCCAAACGATTTTAAGAAGATCGTCACTACGGTACTATGCCATCGTTTGATTACCTTTTTTTCATAATGTATGGCCTACTGACTGAGAATATATATTGCATTGAACATCGAATATCAAGGTGATATATCACGGGGAACACTTACCTGTAAAATTAAATCCAGGTTATCTTTTCGTCAGACCAACCAGGAACGTGACTGGTTTGTATGTTATTTGTTCATGACAACACTGATATTTATTATTTACCTAAAATATATCGATTGTAATTTTTTCTCTATAAGCAATCTTAAATGTTATTGATTTCAGATCAGGGCCGCTTTGATTTAGACTGAAAGTAAACACGTTACTGTCGTATCGAGTGGAAACTCGTGCTCATAAACTGTCGTTGAAAATAGCACCTGCAGATAAACACCAATCTTCTGTCTACAATGTAACTGGCAGTAACGTAATATTGCGATATGGTTGTCAAAATAAATGAAACCTCTGTGTATTAACAACACATGGATACTAGATACACGCTTATCGATATTTGCATGTACAAAAAGGGGCATTACTCGTATGAAACTATTACGAAGTACTAGAATAATGTTACATTAATCCTGATTTACACTAAACATAATTTAATAATGTTCACAATAATTCCGGTGCGAAAACCTCCTTAGTATCCTTTTTCGAAATTCTAAAATAGATATTAAAAAATAGTACATTTTCTATCCTAACTAAAACCCCATACATACCTGTTTATTACACATAGCCATAAGAAATGCATAGACATTCAATGTCACTTTGACCTCCAGATTTATATTCAAATTTACGAATAGACTCATTAAATAAACTTATGCTGACATTACTAAAACTTTAAAACAGCATTTTCCGGAAAGAAACCTTTATCTTGCGGATCTGTCAACGATAATTTTCTGAGAAGATGCATTTATGTTTCTTCTTGTAATTTTTCTTTAAAATCGAGAAAAAAGTTAAACAGGACTTCTCTTTTTTACGAAACGTCTTATTTGAAATAAAACAAAAACATCAAATTACATTATGATATAATGATATTTTTTTACGAATTTACAAACACGTAATTTTCAATGATAACTATAAATAAAGAATAAATGTATTTATTTATCTTTAAATTTTTGAAAGCACATTGGACCGATTTTCTAAAACTATTTCAAAATAAAAGAATACTGTAGATGTTACATTTTTTTCTTCTTTAACGAAAAAAGAATTAATAAAGATAAAATACACTTTCTTTCTTATTAACATGAAGGGGACAACCTGGTCAAAAATATTTAGCACTATCCAACCAAAGTTTTATCAAAAACAATAATTAAGGGAATGCTGCTCTTGTACGAAAGCCGACACTAGAATCTTCAAGTTGGTTTACCTGCAGTGGTACAGGAAACCTGAAATACAACTAACTCTTTGTTACGACGAAAATTCTTATCAATTAAGAAAGATAGGAGGAAACTTTAAATGTTATCAACAAAGTAAGTTTAATCAATATAACGAATACGGGTCAAGACCATTTCATAGACAAGTCAGCAACAAGATGCAATCACGCTTTAATCAAATTGATAGAAGGTAAACGAAAGAAAACTTATAGAAAAATAGTTAATTTTATAGATTTATCATTTATATTTTCAATAAGAAGTCTTTCATAATGAACGCGTCACTTTGACGATTAACATTTAGAAAACGACGATATTAAAAAGTTTGGCAAATAGTTAATTCCCCTTCCAACTTTTTTTCTAGTATTATGAAAGCGGCGACACAATGATAAAGGTGTTAAATTATCCACTCAAATTCAGCTATAATCCTACTTCAGTGGTGAAACGTTATTTATAACACAGTTCATCGTTTTTTTCATTGTACATTTCATTTCTTTAAAAATATGCCAATCCATCTTTTAATGTCATTCCTTGTCCTTAAGTCGGATTTTAAATCGCCGAGATGTAGGCTGTGCGAAACTAAAAACCAAGCGATTATTAATACCGTGAATTATAATCTTTGTGTATGTGCATTTAGAGATACAAAACAACAAAAATGTGTTTATTTGTTTACTACCGATAAATGAGGATAAAACAACAATTCAATATTACATTTTACTCTATTTTCACGAAACTCTTGAAAAATAAATTCCATTCCCCAAATACAAAAATACCCGTCGTTAGTGATCATTTTACGTGGTCTGCGAACTAGGTTTCATCAGGGCCAATTATTAATCCCGCAAATTTACCAACTATATAGTACCAGATATGCTGATTGTGCTTTGTCGAGACTAAAACTGATAACTATTGTTCTATGTGATATAAGAGGGGCTATCATTGTAATTAGTACTAATGATTATGTAATCCATGAGTTAAACATTGATTTTCTGTCGACTCCCTTTCTTGACGACAGATTTTCATTAAAGTGTTTACGAAGGTCCGTATTTCAGCGCCCCAAGGTCAAGGTCAATATCACTGTTGCTATTTATAAATCAACCTTCATGTCATACAGACGTTTTCTAGTCTTTGTCGTTTTTGAAGACGATCAAATCAGCACAAACGCATCCCTACTTGTGCTTCGTCAAGGCTTACAATAAGTTTGAAGCAATGTGAACGTATCTGAAACACTGATCTCGTCTAACAAAGAAAATCACAGGAAGCACGAACGACTTGTCCAGTGTCCTCATCCACGGCCTTGATGTCTATCTCGGATCCCCCCATACACATAGTGACGCTTACTGTTCTTGCAAGTCCCCGAGTCGTGTCCGGCAGATCTATTGTGAACTTTCCGATTTTCTGGCAACTTGTATCGGTTACATGCACTGGTTCTTCCTCGGTTGAAGCATAAATGGTAAAGTTCATTCCATCTTGTGCTGTGGAAGCTGGTGTATACTTTTTTGCTTTTGTCTGATGGCCCATTTTAACTGCAGTTCCTTTCCTCACAAAACTAGAAAAGGCAAACTTGCAGCGTGTTGTACCGTCCGCAGCCGTCACACGATAGTCTTCTCTGTGTCTACCCTCTTTGAACCGTGACCAAGTGTCCACGCCGTATGTGTACTTACATACTCGCTCCGATACGGTAGAGGGACAATGTCCCGTGATCACGGCCCCTTTCAGCACAGCCAAACCGGCATCGTTAGGGATGAAGAGACGCGTGTCACCAACAACACGCCAAATGGCGTCGCGGAGCAATGGGCACTCCGAATACCCGCCGACCATCAAGATACCTGAAATTCCTCTGACCTTTGGGTCAAGGAGAAGTTTACGGACATGTTCGGTTATGTTCGCAATGGATTGGTCAAACAATGACACCGCTTTTGTTCCGGACAATCGTAGTTTGTCACGAAGTAGCTCAACGTGAGAGGACAGGTGTTTGTTTCCGGCGATAGTGTTTTCGATGTCTTGCTCCGGATACAAGCTGTTGTAAGTCGAGAGAAAACTGACTGGAATACTAAATGTAACCTTGTCTGAATTATTATCCTTGATTGTTTTTTTTGTCACTTCGAAGATCCTTGTGAGATCCAGTAAGTCTAAAATATGATTTGACTTAAACTCCTGGAAGGCTTGCTTTCCTATAATGGCTTGCAGCAAGGATTCAAAAGCTTCATCTACCTTTGTCCCTCCCCAGTCCCCGCCACTAGCTACTAATATCTCCCTCAAGTGTCCGTCCTTCTGTATCTCATGGACGGTGATATCTACGGTACCACCTGAAAATGTGAAAATTTGAATACGGTACATGATAGTGTTGTGATTTTGACATTGGAATCAGTAAATGCTGTGTGAAACTGTTTCACTTGATTGTTCATTCTGATTTACATAATATACGTTACGTCCAGAAAAAATATCTTTGACCTTTTTAGAAGAGTTGTATGAAACTTTCCAAACGTTGTCATTACTCGATATAGCGGTACACTACAATTTACTTTATTTCAACTTATTAGTTGTTTTTGTTTTTTGAGAAGCGGTTGTATGGGTTCTAGTTTACATCTGTACAAACCACTAACAACTGCAGGTGTAAAACGTACCTCCGGCATCGATAATCATGTACTTTGTTCCAGCTTGAAGGACATCCAAATCTCCATTATCTCCAATCGCCTGTTTCATCAAGGGTATGTGTTTGCAGTAAACGGAGGCTGCTTCCGACTCCAAGGACAGTACTAGTTGTTTTTTTCTTATCCCAGCCTGTTTTAATGATTGAAAAGTGGTTTATCTGATAAAATTCACGTGTATGTTTTTTTTTTTTTACTTTTGTTGTAAATTACCAAAATAAAAGGCTTTGCCAAGCTGTGAAATTCGAGACCATAATTCTGACGTAATTATCGTGACGTCATTACAATTGTGACGTCAAAAACACATTGTTAGACATAACTGTTCGATGATGGCTGTTTAATTCTTGTTGCTACAGGTATGTATGTTTATGAACATTAACACATCTTCAAGGTTTATTTAAATCAAAAACTACATTTAGGGCCTAGTATATCATTTCAGCTATCATTCCCCCTATTCTGGCGCTATGCGCCTCGGATGGTCGATTCAAACATCGCTCCGAAGAATGATTTGCTACGCCACTGTTCATTTCGTCTGTTTTACAAATTTGCTTCAACGGATACTACGATACATATGGCATTCCTTTTAAAACAGGTTCATAGACGCGTAGTCCCGAAAATTACCATTTCTGCCGCTTCCCGCATCAGCTGTTTTGCTGGATCGGTCCAGATCGCCGGGACAGTTAGGACCCATCTGACCTCTGAATCGTTGACTTCAGCGCCCTGTTCTTTACATTTTGCCATCAGATGTGACTTTAGATGAGCTATAGTGGCCGATATGACATCTATCAAAGGCATTTTCTTTTCCCGGCTGAAATCAGTCAATTGGACGTTTCTTTCCAGCTTGATTAAATGAAAAAGACCAGTTAATTAACAATTAACTTATTTATTTTATTTATTTATTATTTATCAATTTATTTATTACTGTATCAATCTTAATTCCGTCGTATAATTTAAGGTTTATTTCGAACGAAATCATTGAAGAAAGCGTTTTTATCTCATCGTTTTCAAGGGTATCTATGTACTTCTTTTCTTTGTTCATATTAGCTGTAGTTTCATTGATTATTACTTTTACAGTTTTGTTGACACTTCCATATTTTCTTGTTATTTCTACTACAATGCCTTTCGGATACAGACCGAATTATTATACACACTTACTTTGGTATTGTAAAGATTCATTTTGAAACGCCGAAAAAGGTACCAGTCTTCATGATCCTTGTCTAAAGCGAGGTTGAGGTATTTGTCCTCGGCTTCGTATCCAAACGAATGGAATGAACGGTCAGGTTTGAAAAGGACACAGGTGGAAGCCTTAGGAGAAACCATACCCGCAGACCCGGACCATTGTACTAAAGATATTTTCGTCGGATCTCTTAAAAAATCATGTCTGGTGGAAAACGCATATCCCGAGTAGGTCGTCCCGAAGTCTATGGCAGCAACCAACAGAAAATTATCCGAGGACATCACTTCTCGATCTGAAATATATATGCGAGTCTTATCTAACCATGGATGATTATAGCTATCGCCATTCGTCCTTACTGAAGAGTTAACCGAGGTACGTCGGCCGTTATATTCTATGTTTGTTTAATGGTATGTTTGCCTTTGGCGACTCTTCAAAATCATGGTTGTATAATGTTTTGTTATTTGAATGAGCAGTTAATGAGGTTTGTTTTTTACAAAGTGCATTCATGTTTAAGTATTTAATTCGTGTGTTTTCTAACCATATACTGTTTGTAAATGTTGTTATTGTGAGAAAGCATAGCAGATATACACATAATTAGGTAACCAACACAGGCTTTTAATCTGATCTAACTTTGTCCTTGTGATATGATACGGGAAAGACTGCTATGGCGTGTGAACAGTCACGCAGTCCCGTGTCAGTCAGGCCCCAAAACAACAGTAATGTGTGTTTCATGTAACATGCCTGAAAAAACAAGGCAAGTTGGTAGACAAATAATTTTATTTTAATTTCATTTTTTATGGTTATTCAATATTATGCTTTATATCAATTTTTACAATGCATTTCCATACATAACAATGGTTATTAATTTGTCAATGATAGGGCCACACTCCGAAAACAGGAAGAAAGTACATTTTAATGAGTGGCTGTGAACTTTGCCTGGTTAATAAATTAATCTTAAGATACAATTAGGTGATAACATTTCTAGGGTCGACAAGAAAATCTAGGGTAGGTCGGGATACCTGATACACACATGTTTGTTTGTTTGGCCTCAACGCTAACGCTCTTTACAGGAAGAGTATTAAAATTTATGTAGGTCAATAGCTCAGTTCTCCGAAAAGCTAATTAAAAAAATAGCTACACGTATCTCTACAAAGAATTGTATGCGTGTTGTGCACTTGAATTATTTGACATGCTTGTGCTAACATTCGTTCTCACAAAAATACCCATAACAGTTGGCTTCCTATCGTACAGAAAAGAAGAAAAGTACATCTTCTTTTCTTATACTTTGATACCGAACTTTAATTTCCTCTTAATTGCTTATATATAAAACATTAAACAGAATGTAAATCCCCAAACATTTCTGTATAAGCACATATCAGTCCTGTCCAAACACTAAACAGTTAATTTAAAATACAAACCGGTCCCGTTTAAGCACATCAAATCCGACTAATCGTTACTATTGAAGAAAAATTCATTTTTCTTATGGAAACAACATTAAATAATTAAAAGTTTATTTTCAACAGCAAAAAAAAATTCAGTAATATCGCTGCTTCACCACTAAAACCATTCAATGGTTCTGTTCAATAACCACGAAAACATTTAACGGTCCTTTTTTCAAGACCCACTATATGGTTTTGTTCAAGCCACGAAGTTAGTATACGGGTCTGTTAAGTGGGACGATATCACTGAAACGAGCATGCTTGATTATTAAAACATCACTCAATAGTTCTGCTCAATCATTTAAACATCATCAAATGGTCATGTAGGAATATAACAGTCACTAACAGGTATTATTTAGTTGCGCTGAAATTCCTTAACATTCGTATTCAAACTGTTGAGGATGAACGGCCCTGTTCAAGAAAAAACCCACTAAAAGTCTTGTTCAATAACCACGAAATCACGCTTCGATTCCGGTTTAAGCACATAAAAATACCAATTAGTCTTGTTCAAGCACTTACAATCACTCAACGGCCTGTATTAAACAACACAAACGCAACTTCATGCTTTTGTGTAAACACCACAAAATCACCAAGATAATATTCATGTTAAAACATTATTAAATAATACTTAAACGGTCTTGTTCAATTACCACGAAATGTTCGAGCATTAAGAAATCACCTAACGGTCCTGTTTAAACACCAGTATAGGCACAAGGCATGACCACGCCACGAAGTCTGCTACCAGGCTGTCCTTGCTTCTAAATGACCCAAATAACTGCCGAGTAGTTTGACGAAAACGGTTTGTATTACTGGCATGTTAATTATATTGGTGTCCATGAACCGGAAGTATTTGGGCAATCAATACCGAGTTTATAAAATAAATACGTCAATTACCCGTAACTACAACATGTGTATAAACAAAAGTGGTTACGTTTTTCTCTTTGAACTTGGAATGAGCGTTGACATTCTGCGAGCGCATCCTAGATTTAACAGAAATATTTCGAAAACACCGAGCATGAGGGAGTGGACAATGATACCTATGGCGAGATCTGCATGTTACATTTTACCAATACACGTATGTTCTGAGGTCTATCCAACAATGAGTTATTAACTAACCAGCATAAAGTCTGTGTTGGGATTGTCAACAACTAATGTTTCCCAAACGCTAGTACCAAAAAAAAAGAACCAATCTTAGTCATGTACTGTTTTTTTTTTTTTTTTTATCAACGTGTGTCTAGTGTTGACATTGTAATAGCAGTGACCAATAGGTGTGAATGGAACAGAAATTCCTATTATTGTATATTTTTTTTAGAAATTGTATCCATCTATACTGGTTACCTGCTTGTGTATAATTGGTTTATAGTCTCTCGAGACAGAAATACAATATTTGAACTTTGTAATTTGAGCTATAGTACATGTACCAACGAATAGCGGCTGCAATATCACAACACGTAATACGCGTCTCCAATCAAAGTAACTTTGGGGTGTGCTCAGAATGGGATGTAACAAGGTATGCTCAGTAATCTGATGAGACATAAATACGAGTTTAAAAAATAATAATATTTGGGGTATGTTTGCTCAGAAAACTTTTTTTTTATCACATCGATAAACAAACTGTTACACTGTATCAGGGAAGTTTACTTTGTAAAAATTCATAATTCTTATAATGAATCAGAATAGTGAAGAAGGCCTGGGCCCGTATACATGAAACCGTTGCTCAAGCATGGATTATGTGCTCAAAGCAACTTTCTTGTAACTCGCTTAAAGTACAAGACATAACCAAAACGTCACGTATAAATACCGAAAATGGTATCTGCCTGTAAGTTTCGGTAATTTTCTTCCGAATCGTTGAAAAATGGTGATTAGGACTCATTTATCACCGGAACATTAGATTGGGCTAGAGCACAGATTCTGAGTTATAGAATGAGAATCATTTCATGAATACGGGCCCAGGAGCCCGAAATATTGGGACTTAGGGTGACAGTCGAGGTTTTTTCCCCTTTTTTCCCTTTAGTTGTTCTACACTTTAGATTTTTAATGTTAATCTCTTTGGTCAAGTCTAAATATAAAACTACATTCTGATTACAATTTTGTAAAGTATCTTACATTGATATAAGACCATGGTCAATCATGCAGATTTTCAACAAATTTCACGTAAAAAATGTATAAAATCTCTCTTTACAGTGCGTTTAGCTTCGTATGGACTTTAAAATGGAAAAATCTTATATGAAGATGTTCATCACAAGTTCAGTCAGGTTTTCTAAACACTTACATACAGCGCTAGATACAGTCAACTACCTCAATTTTATTAACATTATGCTCACCAATTAGGTCGAAAAATACTTGCATGGAAAATATTACATTCAACGATGATAAAATAATTTGTCAAATTCCGAAGCGTTCCGTTTGAAGGGTTAAATACATCCAATAAAGACAGCATAGACATGACCAACAGATTAATATTTGTCAAAAATGCATTTTTCATTAACTGTATTTTGTTGACCTTTTTCAGGAGCGCAATAGACCCAACTCCATGAGGTTCAAAGGAATAATGACACGAATAAAAACTACCCGACCGAATGAAGGGGACTTACTAGCATGGTGCGTATAGCGTATTTAAAGAATTGTTACATGGTATCGTTTAAGTGGTCAAATCATATAAACAGAACGATTTGGTTTTAAAAATGTTGTTCAATGTTGAATCCATGGAGATGTGTTACGTGGGGATGCGTTATGTTTAACATCCCATCAGCGTTTCTCAGCGTGGCATACTGTTACAATGGCGTATACATACATACGCAACTATGCGTTCGGCTTGTGTTGACGTCAGTAATGGACTACGTATTGTAGCTGATGGCATGCAATCTCACATGCGTATATGCCTTGATGAAAAAAGCAGGTTTCTTGCCTTTTTTACGACCCTCATCTTTGACCTTGACCTGTGTGACCTCATGTTTCAGTTTGCATCAGGTTAAGACTAACGTTTGCACCTACGGTCATACAACTTCGCATACTTCTCTACAAAAGTCTCTTGATAAGTACATCATATTTCACAGCTTTTTGTGAACTTCGCCTTTGACCATGACCTCTGTGACGTTGGTGACTTTTTCATGGTCATTATTAAATTTTAGTACGGTAGCTTGGGTTATAGTATTTCACTTGCTTATGTGCCTTACTAATTACATCAGGTTTAACATTTTTGGCTCGGTTTTGGGGTTAAGGTAAAGTATGGACTGAGAAATGCAGCTACGGTCAGGTTACCTCAAATGCTCCTTTTGTAAGCACAGCTTGTTGCATGACATTTTGTAACTTTAACATGTGCGACCTTGCTCAGTTTCCGAAGTGTCGGAGCTGGGAATCCCTATCTTACAGTTTTGATTTTTAAATTCCTGGCCCTGAAAGTGGCACAGATCAGATCTTTTACTGATGTTATTTGAAGATAACACGCTTCATCAAATCATTTCCTTCTGTAAGAAGTTACAATCCTGACAACGACTTTTTATACATTAAGGATCCCTGTGCCATTGCTGACAAACCACTAGAGACTTTCACATACAATAACCTCCCCTTAATTTAGTTTTGGGTATAATTATTCATTTTGGGTATTATGCTTGCTTAAAATTTAACTCACTGTTTCATTTCAATATTATTACAGACATAGACGGGCAAAAAATACCATAAGCGGAGAATATGAAGTACTTACCAATGTCAGATCGACAGGCGTTGGGCATACTTTCTCAACTCCATATGCGGTGAAATAATGGGGAAATCTTTGCCTATATCTTGACTCGGGCTCCACGCTAAAGATAAATTTGCATAGTTAATAACTTAATATTAAGATCTCTGGAATTTTAATGACACTATTTAACGTGAAGTCGATATCAATAAACATTGCCGAGATAACTCTGTGTCGCCCGTGTAAAATGTCACAAAACAGACTAA